TCCAGGATCAGGTGCGGGACGCTGGCCGGCGAGCCGGTCTGGTAGCCGTCCACGTAGGGGTAGCCCATGAGGGACTCGGGCGAGCTGGTGTAGGGGTCGGGGTACTCGGACTTGATGGCCCGGCTGGGGAAGGGGCCGTAGGGCTGGTAGGCTTGCAGGCTGCTGCCGTGGGGCGGGGGCATGGCCATGCTGATGGGGGAGGTGACGAAGGGGCTCCGGTCGTAGTCCGTGGGCGGCAGGGCGGCGTGGCTCAGGGGGAGGCCCTTGGAGGCCGAGTGCATGTTCTGGATGGCGGAGCTGATGCCCAGCTCGGGGGGCATCGCCTGGATCACCTGGGACATGGCCTCCAACTTCAGTCCGTTCGCCCGGATGAGGGCCTTCTTCTGCTGCTTCAGGGCGCGGTCCCGCTTGTACATGGGCCCGAACTTATTCCTCCCGCCGCGCATTCTGTCGGCCCTGACCGCTGGGGGAGAGGAAGTCGGGGTGTGAGTGGAGACGGAAGTGACCAGGCCCCCGGCATCGTCCCAACAGGTCAAGGTTGTGGGCTCGTCACCTCGCAGGCAGCTGCTGCCTTGTGGGGGGCACAGACAAGAATCAACCAAATGAGCCCCGGCCGGTGTCGCTCAGTGGGTAGAGCGCCGGCCTGCGGACTGAAGGGTCCCGGGTTCGATTCCGGTCAAGGGCACGTGCCTGGGTTGCGGGCTTGGTCCCTGGTGTGGGGTCCGCAGGAGGCAGCTGATCAATGATTCTCGTTCATCATTGATGCTTCTCTCTCTCTCTCTCTCTCTCTCTCTCCCCCTCCTCCTTCCTCTCTATAATCAAGGAAAATATATTTACAAAAGAAAAAAGAATCCACCAACCAATGCGTAAATAAGTGGAACTACAAATCGATGTTTCTCTCTCTTTCTCTTCCTCTCTCTCTCTCAAAACCAACCCATAAAGAAAAGAATTAAAAAAAAAAATAACGATGTGAGCTATCAGCACCCCCTAGATGGACAACTATTTAGAAATATGGGCAATGGACCCGAAGTAGTATGTGCGTTTCTGTTCTTACATTAGTCCTCAACTATTTCCCCCCAAAAAACCCTGTCCTCATTATTCATGAATTGTTTCCTCCACGTGTGTTTTTCATCAAAAAAAAAAAAAAAATCTCTCCCTTCGGTGGACGGGGGAAGGTTTCCTAATTGTTGCCACACACACAGGACACTGTGTCCCTCCAAGGAGTGACATCGGCGTCTCTGGTGCCGGTTATACTGTTGCTCTCTTTACAGAATTCCGAGCTGCCGGTGGCAACAAAGTACCCAACGACCCACTTCTAGATTAACCTGGGACTGTTTGCTTTTAGAGCATCGTCCTCCTCCTACACTGCACTGGCCCAAGTTGCTGCAAAAATGGTTGGGGACGTCCTTTCCTTAAGGGAAAAAAAAAAAAAAAAGATTTCCACCCGGACTCGATGAACGCGCATCAGATCGCCACGGGCCACTGTTTTTTTAGTTTTAGCAAAACTGTGCCGAATGGAAGCCGATGCGTTTCAGACGCTGTCCAGGCAGCCTCCCTCCCCCGGTCCCAGCTGCTGGGTGGAGTCTGGGGCCAGGTCGTCGTGGAATAAGGGAGCCGTTCTCCCCAGGCCCGCGGTGGCCAATGGCGATCAGGCAGGAGCCAGCCACCCTGACCGCCTGGGACATGTGGCTGTGGCCGGAGGTTACGTTTTTTGAGCTTTTCATCCTCGGATTAGTCCAGCATTAAAAATGTATGGCGAACGCTGGGTGTCCGGACCACAACACGAGACAGCAGAGGTTCCCATGGGGGTGAGAACTGGCTGAATCGTCAGCGGTTCCGTCGCCCTGGTCGGAAGGGACGGCGGGCAGCCGAGTGACTTACAGCGAAGAAAACACACGCTCCCAGGGAAAGAAATGCAACCTTTTTCTTTTGTTAAGAAAAACAAAACAGCCGGCCGATGTGGCTCAGGGGTGGAGAGTCGACCTCTGAACCAGGAGGTCACGGTTCGGTTCCCGGTCAGGGCACAGGCCCGGGTTGCGGGCTCGATCCCCAGTGGGGGGCGGGCAGGCAGCAGCCGATCCATGATTCCCTCTCATCGTGGATGTTTCTCTCCCTCTCCCTTCCTCTCTGACATCAATAAAAACATATTTAGAAAAGAAAAGACTCCAATCAAACGTTGACCGGGGCGTTCTGATTTGAAAACTTTAAAAGAAGGATTTTTTTCCCCACCTTATTTTTATTTGTTCTCAGCTGAATGGCTTGAGTCTCGCTTTCACCTACCCTGTTTTTATTTTGAGGGTCAAATGCAGCTATTCCCCAAACTGACAAAAAAACAAATGGTGAGGAGGGGCGAGGCCCACAACTCTGATACGAACACTTTTCTCTCGGTGGACTTGACACGGGCCGTAACGAAACACAGGCTGTTCGTAAAGCGGACGAAACGTAAAGTCGGACACCCCCGTCCGCGGCGTTAAAAGACCCCGAAGATAACGTTCCTCTGGTGGAAGCAGAACGTAGCATTACCCGCGAGGCCCCGGGAGCGTTCACAGGCGGCGGCGGGGCCTTACCTTCTAGCTTCATCCCCACGCTCAGGCATTTCTGAAACCGACAGTAGGGACAGCGCTTCCTCTGGGTTTTGTCAATCTGGCAGCTCTGGTTCTCTATACACGTGTACCTCTTGTTGTTCTGGACCGTCCGCTTAAAAAACCCCTGGAAGACGGAGGCCACGGGGAGACACGTTATGCAGCCACCGCCCACCCGTCTCTCCCGTGGCTCCTCGGGCGGGGACTCCGCAGCCCATCCTCTCGCTGTGCCACGGGAGCCCTTCTGAGGGTCTGCGGTTTTCTTTGCCCAGTTTCACGAGGCCCGCCCTCCCCACCAGGCCCAGGAGACCCCGCCGTCCCCACCGTCCTATTCCTGAAGCATGACAGCCAGTCTGGGGGGAGACTGGGCTCCATACCCACCACTGCATCTCAACGTTTCAGAGAAAAACACCTCCTCTAGGGAGAGAGAGGGTCTCAGGGCTTCTGAAACAATTTCAGGGACAAACGACTGCAAAAAAAAAAAAAAAAAAAAAGCAAGAAAAAAGCAATGGAAAACCTGACTAGCAGAAGGTCTCAGATCTCCTGCGAACGTCAACATGAGGTCGTTAAAAGCAAAAGGATTTGAAGAGGAAAAAATGGGGGAAACGTTCCTAATTCCCCTGGAATGCGTTCCAGTATGAGAACTCTTGTTTTTTTTAAAAAAAAAAGAAAGAAAGAAAGGAAAAAAGTGAAACTAATGGGAAAGCGCTCAGAGCAGGGACCCGAGGATCCACACGAGTGTGTGTTTCCCTCAAAACGTGAATCCAACGGTGAAGTGTGGTGGCTCGATAACATAGCACCAGTGCGACCAGGTGGCTTTGGTCTCTCTGTTTATCCTCCCGGCCATAAAGTGAAACAATTTTTACTTTGTGACGGAGAAGCCAGGGTTTTTTTTTTTTTCCTGGCAGGGGTTGAAGTCATTGTACCCAGCTTTCTGCTTTAAAAAAAAATAATAATAAAAATAAAGAGAATTTGGAAAACAGCGCCTACCATCACACTGACTGGGAATATGTAGAAACGGTCTGCGACAAGCCCTCACCGCTCCCTGATCTTAGCAACTGCGTGACGCATGGGGCCTGCGCCTTCCCCCCATTTGAATGGGGCCCGATATTTATGAAAACAACTCTATCGGGAGCGAGACGACCCGGCCTGTTGTGTTCCTCGTGATATAAATTCCCAGGAATCCCCACAATTATTTCGGGAGTAAATCAGAAGGGGCAAGGTATTTGGGAGCCTCTTTGTCAACGGCTCCCTCCGGAGAACGGCGGTGCCTTAAATATAGATAAGTCACGCGGAATCAATATTTGGGGGCTGCTAGAGATAGAAGGCTTCCTCCCGCGACATCATAAACTACCTGAAAGCCATGAGACTGGCAAAGTTTTCTAAACACCATCCATTTCTTTGCCCTTTGAATTAAAGGAGACACATATTTCTAAGAATCCTCTCCCTAGGACGGTCTCTCTCTCTCTCTCTCTCTCTCTCTCTCTCTCTCTCTCTCTCTCTTTTGTTTTTTAAAATCGAGTCTTAAAATAAACATAAAAATTTAAAAAAGGCAGCCTGGCTCCAGGTCGCCTGAAGAAGTCACCCCGGGGGTGGGTTTGGGCTCAGAGGGGGTCCCCGTTTCTCATCTCAGGTGACCGGGTTTGGGCGCTCACCTTGCAGCTCTCACAGGTGAGCAGCCCGTAGTGGTAGCCGGACACTTTGTCTCCGCAGACGGGGCACAGCTCCTCCAGGTCCTCATCGTAGGAGTAATTCACCATCTTAAACTGAGACACTGGGAGAGAAGAGGCAGAAAGAGACACACACGGGCCCGGTGAGCTTCCCAGGCCGCCTTCCATCCCCGCAGGGAACGGCGCCGCGGGTGGGTGGGGACGGGCGGGCAAAGTCCACCAGGAAAAAGACAAAGTAAAAAAATACTTGGGTTCTGCTCAGGACTTCCTTAGAGAGCTCCAGCGAGAAAGCCAGGCATCTTTTAAAAAATTATGCATATATATTTATATGTTTTTAAAAATTTTTTAAATAGCTCCCAAGTCTTCTGTGAAAGACACAGGCACCGACCGACCGACCCCGGTGCACACAAACCGGCCAAGCCACCGATCCCACGGGGAGCGGGCGCCGCCAGCAGAAACCACTTCGGATTTCTTTGAAACTCCTTTCAAAGTCCCCAACCGGCCACCTTTGCCCGG